AATCCTCGAAAAACGAAAAATCTTGCAGCAGTTGACGTTTCCGGTGTGGTTTTGACAGAAGTTTTTGTTGTTGTCAGCTGATTCATACTAGAAATTATAAAGGGAGGGCTTATATTCGAGGGAGGGCTTATATTAGAAAAATAGACAAAAAACGTGCTAGGTCTTATATTTGAGGGATGTCTTATATTTGAGGAAACACGGTACATAAACGCATCACCAACCGCACATAACATACCAATGTAAACGTTCATAGCGTAATGTTTATTTTTTCATAGTCCTATCATTTACAATCCTGTCTTGCGAACTTTCTTTTTCCGCTTGTACAATGTTGTACACCGAGCAAGCATACACACTTCACACATATACAAAAGTAATGTACCGAATATTGTTGAGTGTACGAATTGAATAACCGCGTTTCTTGCCCGGACGTTTGCACACGTATTGATTTGAAGGGGGGATATATATATATATATATATATATATATATATATATATATATATATATATATATGTATATATATATATATTAGGATTTAGACCATAGACCATATATATATATACTTATACATACATATATACTTATATATACATATATACTTATACATACGTACGTACGTGCGTTCGTATCAACAGCGGATGTATACATAAGTGTGGTTATGTGTGATTGCGTTGCATGCAACATACGGTTTATGTATATTTTATTTTAGTACACACTATTATCCCATTATTGCACCGCTGTGTGTGTGTGATGCTCATGCAGAATATGGTGGAAGAGCGTTGAATGGTTTCTCCATTGCACCGCCTACGCATACACCGTCTCCACTGGATTGAACTTTTTCCGACGTTTCCGTGTTTCTTACCTTCGTGATATTCTGTCGTTAGATATATTTTTTTTATTTTATGAGTAATTTTGTGCCTTCAATTTTCAGGTCATGTCGCATGTTTGAATAATGTAAAATCAATTTGAGCAACAGATGGCATCGAATAAGTATATACATGCTCGTATATTGTATATGTATATATTGTTTATTTTTATGTTCATGTATTTTTAGAAGTGTGTTTGTTTGTTTGTTTGTAGCATGCTTGTGGCCAAGCCAGCGTTGAGGTGAACTTGCCTTTGTTGTCGGCGCGTTAGTCACGCGCATGTCTTGGGCTTGTTCTCCTTTGAACGAGTTGTTTGCTTGTTTGGTTTTCATAAGTGTGGTGATGATGATGTCGATGTTGATAACTTTCCTATCAATACGGATTACAATAAAATCCTTTATTATAAATATTGATTTTTTCTCTCGTTGTTGTTGTAAATTATGCCAATAATCTCGCCCTAACATTGTTTGAACTTTTTTTTCTACCGGTAGATTCATCGATTCTTGCGTTAAAAATAATACACACACCACACACACACACACACACACACACACACACACACACATATATATAATATATATATATATATTTATATATTTATATGTTGGTAATAGACCATAATTTTTACAATATTCTATAAATTCTACCGTATGTTTAGCGTTAATATGTTTGTAATTCGTTTTTTCGATTTTTCTCACTAAAGTTTTTTGGTGATTGACAATATTGTTAGTGAAAATGTTATCCAACAACGTCGAAGTATTTTTAGTTATACGTGTAGGTGAATTAATTAACGGCCCTAACGAAAATGACTGTAATAAATTGCGGAAAGAAAAACCAATTTTGTACCAGTCATCTTTAGCCATATCAATGTTAAAATCACCTGATATATAAATTTTAGTTTTATGCCTGTTTCAATTTTATAAACAATTTTTCTAGTTGTAGAATAAAAAAATTATAATTATTATTAGGTGAACGATAGATGGAACAAAATAATGTCAAATCCTTTACCTGCAATATTACTAATATCTATAACTAACCAATCAAATACATCATTTACTGTACACAAATCTGTACGAATATTATAAACAACATCCTTTCTTAAGTAAACACCTACACCACCACCACCCCTCAGTCTTCTATTACTACATATAAAGTTAAAATCATCTAAACTAACCATGTTAGAAGTCTCATCATCCAACCAGGTTTCACTAATGGAGATTACCTTCAGATTATTAATGTTTCTAAGGAGACAATTTAAATCATTAAGTTTTGGTAATAAACTACGAGCATTGAAATGTAAAACAGAAAAATTGTTATTAACATTCAAACCAAAGTCAACAGGAATAGTATCAACAGTATAATACATAAACGAGGTAGTATCAAACATATTAGTGAATCCATCAGGGTCAACAGCCGCCAATCCATTTTTGTCATCTATGAGTAGTTTTTGTGGTTTCCTTAATTGAGGTTTTAAAAACTCACTCATATATAAATATGCTTTTATCCCATAGTTCTTTGTTCAGTAATCTAGATACTTCCGTGTCTGGTAGAATAATCTTAAAAGCTGTAGATGTTGTTTGCTTTTCGGAATCTGTTGTTGGCACCTCCACCGACTGATCATTTATCTTCTGTGACTTCTAAACAGCGGAAAAATATTCGTAAACTTTATTCCATTTTGTCAGGTGGTTTTCAACTGTTTCTTTACCGCAAATAGCTACATTTCCGAGATAAAAAAAAACTTTTTTCTTTGTTTTTTCATCTATTTGCTTCGAAGCTTTCAATTTGGAAGAAGTGGACGAACTAAAAATTTTATTTTTTTTCTTGAATCTGGTTCTTTAGTTAACGGTTTAATTGGTGAAATTACATCTTTTTTTCGTTTATTTCTTCTACTTGAGACTTCAATGAAGTCGCTATCGTTATCCGTAGCAGAGTCGTCAACTTCAGTTTGACTAACAAGTGATTTTAGACAGGACGCAGAATATAATAATGTACTAATGCAATATAGATATAACGCACGGTAATTTATAGAATAGAATTATGCAAATGCATTAGTACATTATTATATTCTGCGTCCTGTCTAAAATGCTGTGTGAAAGACATTGACGCTTGTGTTACTGACGTTAATTTGAGCTAAAAAAAAGTTTAATGTTGATGACGATGACGATTATTACACAATTCATGATGATGACTATGGTTACATGGATCAGGATGATGGCCATGATTCTTGTGTTAAAAATAACACACACTCACACACGATGAAGACGCTGATGATTCATAAGTCATGACAACCTTAATGATTACAGAGGTCAGGGGTTTCAATGATAAAGAATTTTTTAGAAGAATTTTTTTCGGGATGCATCTAATTTTCCGACCTTTTTTGGATATATTCATTCGACAAATCTAAACATAAGTGCATGATCCTGTCATTAATTTATTATCCAAATTTGGACAAAAATTAGTTTTACTCTAGAGGCTTGCAAGCGTCCAAGGAATTTATTTTGTAGAGCTGCAAGCCTTTGCCAGTCAGTCAGTTATTAACCGGCACCTATAAACGCTTTTATCTGGCTTCCTACTTGAAAATAATTGTATTTGTAAAATAACAAAATTTCAGCAATAAATGTTTGTCATCTATAAAACTATAATTTTGAATTTCAACTTCCAAATATTAATTTTTTAAGTTGGAGTGATTCTGAAAAGCATTTCACTCCATTTGTAAGATATCGGAAATTCATCAGTTTAAAAACAAAAGGTCTGGTAAAATTAAAAAATTGTCTTCCAGCTCTTAAAATTTGCTAAAACATTCGTTGGATTCATTTTTAAAATCACTTATCTTTGCAGAATATTTCACAAAAAAGATTTTGTGATTTTCGCGGCTGAAAATATGAAAATAAGTCAAAACATCTTTTTCACGTGAGCCTCAAACAAATCCAGATTTTAAACATTTTTTTAAATAAAATTTTGAAATGTTTTGCGAGCCGTAAAATATCACGTGGCGGGCTATATCCGACCCGCGGGCGATATGTTTGACATCTCTGGCATAATACACAAATGATGATGACATCCTAAGTCGAGACGACGATACGATTATGTAGACGTCATAACGGCGAAGACAACATAAACAACGGTTATGTGAGAGTGCAAAAAGAAATAAGAGAAATGACGATGGTGTGATGTCTCAGAAAAAGCTGTAAATGAGTATGCATGACGTAGTTGACATTTTAAGATACAATTGTTGGCATTTGGGCGGTCCAGCAATTCTAATTGTTGTTGCTGTTTGCCACTTTGGCAGTCCTTTGTTCTTATTTCCTTTAAACATTTTTTCATGCTGAATTTTGGTGGTGTTATAAGTTATTTATTTCTTGATGTTGTATTTCTTTCTTAATTGTTTTTGCCTAGTTAGCTCGTATGTTTAATTCAAACTCTTCATTGATACACTTGAACTAATTTATTAATTCAATTTTCAGTGTGATTTAAAATCATAGCTAAGAGTTAAGAGAGCTAAGAGTTCCTGTCATCAGTAATTGGATTTCTACTTAAACATTATAATCCCAATCCCATCAAGTTTCTCCCATTCAGCATCTGTATCTCCTCCTTTCATCTTCAATTATGTCTAATTCTTTGGTCTTTTTAATGACTTCAACGGTATCATCACCATCGTCATCATCTTATTCATCACTATTATCATCACTTATCATCTTAATCATCACCATTATCATCATCTAGATCATCACCATCGTCATCGTCTTGGTCATCAGCATCGTCATCGCTTTTATTGATGTGGCCAGGAACGCAGCATTTAAATAGTTTTCTTTGCTATCGACTCTGTTTTATTGCTGTTTTATTATCACCCTCACCACTGGCAATATGTATCATTGTCATATGTTATTATCGTCGTCGTCTTCATTACCATCATATTTTCATCTTATTTTCACCATTACCTTATATACTGACGTAAATTACTTCATCATTTTTCTCATTATCACCATCATCATGGTCATAATAATAATCATCACAATAACGCCTGACCTATTGTTGAACTCTACCTCTGAAAGTGATTATTTAATAATAATAAATAATAATAATCATAATAATAGTAATTATAATATTAATAATTATCATCATCCCCTTCATGGCAGACTCTTAGGTACGCCAACAGAAGATACGTGGCCTGGTTTCACTCAGCTACCTGAATACAAAGTGAGCTAATTAAATCAACAGCTGATCAGCTGACTAATTAAATGTTAAGTGAATGATGTAAGGTCGTAAATTGTGTGAGCAATTAATGATTAATTTAGTAACTTTCTCATTTGTTTCGTTGTTAACGATGGCTGATGTGTCGGAGAATATTTTTGACGTGTAGAAGTATTGTTGACGGGTTGAGAAGTATTGTTGATGTATCGAGAAATATTGCTGTTGTGTTGAGAAGTATTGCTGATGTGTTGAGAAATATAGTTGATGTGTCGTGAAATATTGTTGGTGTGCTGAGAAGTATTGTTGCTGTGTTGAGAAGTATTGTTGCTGTGTTGAGAAGTATTGTTGATGTATCGAAAATTGTTGTTGGTATGTTGAGAAATATTGTTGATGTGTGGAGAAATATTGTTGCTGTGTGGAGAAATATTGTTGCTGTGTTGAAAATTATTGTTGATGTATCGAGAAATATTGCTGTTGTGTTGAGAAGTATTGTTGATGTATCGAAAATTGTTGTTGGTGTGTTGAGAAATATTGTTGATGTGTCGAGAAATATTGTTGCAGTAATTTCCACGCATTCATCAACGAGTTTATTGACCTATAGTTCGACACTTGTTTTGGCGTCGTTTTGAAAAGTTTTTTACCTACGTTGACATTTTCTCCACACAGCCATATCCACTGTACCCATCGAGCACAAACTGGCTGCAGATTGTTCCAAAGTTGAACAGCAAAGGCAGGGACTTATTGTTGGTTAGTTAGATGAATCACTTCGTTTTTCAAAATTGTTCATTCCATTTATTTTTCCATCAGTCGTATATTTAAATTAACTCATTAGATGAAATTTTTAGTAAAATTGAAATTATATTATAGTAAAGATTGAAATTGTTTAGATGAAATATAATAAAAACAACAATTATGAAATGTAGTTGGTGATGATGACGCTGATGATGATGATGACTATTTGACAATGATAATGATGATGACAATGATGATGAGGATGACAACTTTGACGATGGTGATGACGATGCGTCTCATGTAACGACACGAATGTTGTTGTCAGAGTCTGCTCGTTTGCAATCCAAGCCAGCGGATGGGAGCTGACGACTCAATGAAACATTCCTACTTCTCTGAAATGAACGCCAACCTCAAATAATCATTCATTCACTCATTTATTCATTCATTCGTTCATTCATTTATTTATTCATTCATTCATTCGTACATTCATTCATTCATTCATTCATTCATTCATTCGTTCATTCATTCGTTCATTCATTCGTTCGTTCAATTATTTAATCATTCATTTATTTATTTAGTTAGTTACTTTGTTTATTTTTATTATAAAGTACATTTTGGTATTCAATTCATTATTCATTTAAGTTGACGATAAAAAATCGTATAAAATGTATGATTCTGATTCGGTTGGATTGAAAATTAAATATCATAAAATTTTGTGGATGCTGTTTATATTATTATTATTATTGTGTTTGTGTGAGTCTGTGTATGTGTGTGTGTGTGCGCGCGTGTGTGTGTGGTATTTGAGAGAGAAAGAGAGATAGTGTGTGTGTTTCTTTAATGACGATCGACATCAATCAATCAATCAATTTCATTTAGCAATGATGCTGCTATAATATAGGCACTAGTCAGCATTTTGTTAAACTACATTTATCTGTTTATTTTTATTTAAATTGTTTCAATCGAGCATTGTTTACATATGAAGATTACTTAGAAGCTAACGAGTTAGTCGTCTTGTGGGCACAACTCAGCCATCGTGCAGTCCTAGTCGTAGGCGTGTGTGATTGTGTAGGCGTAGGTATGTGTGTGTGTAGGTGTGCGATTGTGTGTGTGTAGATGTGTGATTGTGTGTGTGTGTTAATGGATCTTTTCAACTGCTGTACATGCATGGGTAGATATTTATTTTTCTCGTATATATATATATATATATATATATATATATAATTATAATTTTATAAAATTATAAATTAATATAATATGATTTATTTGTACTTATTTGTTCACCTAGCATATTGCCCCATTGAGTTGAAAGATGTGCAACTTCTGTGCAACAAAAAGCGATTCATTGAATTTAGACTCCTGTGCAACTGTTCAGATGACGTTTGCATAAAAAGTGCTGCTTGCATTTTTTATTATTTATCCGAATAATCTCGTGCTCCTTGATGCATTGGTTTCAATTCGTTCATCGGTCTGTTTCATTTTATATATATTATATCGGGGAACCGGGACTCTGGACGCAAAACGAAGATTGATTGATATTTATATCTGGCAAGTTGATTTGTATGAAAACATTCATGTCAATTGTTTTTAATAACATAATAATATCGAAACATGTTTATGGCTTCGTGCACCAAAACACTGTTTAATTTCTTGTATAATTCAATACAATTGTTGGAGTTAACAGAAAGCGTGAATGAAACCCTGAAGAAATGTAGTTTAATCCTTGTTCGGGCAGGCGAGAAATTAACTTGCCTGCCCGAACAAATCTGTTTGCTTTGGCTTTTGCACTTGCATTTATGTTGCTCTTCACATTTCGCACCGGGAATTCTTCATTATTTTTTGGCTAACTTTTCTCCGGTGCATATGATTCGTAAGCAAAGCTTTTGAAATGCTAGTTCATTCTGGGTGTGTACCTACTTGTTCTGTGCATGAACGAGTGTGTGGTTCATTAAGCTGTAAACATCAAAAGTGGTTTTGGTGCAGTAGCAGAACTTGTGTGTTTTTAAACTCGTTCATTACACATATTTTCAAACAAAAATGATTTTACGGTTTTATTTAACTTAGGCTTTTTTTTAGGTAATTCTTAATTCAACTCAGTTGCGACGGTATAATTGATATTTAGAAATATTATTAATTATTATTTATACACCTTACTCGCATATGATGCTCACTGACATCTTATATCGTTGTATACGTCAGATGATATAGAAGCAGAAATGTTTGAAATGCATCTAGTCGGTTGGAATGGCATGCGTTAAATTTGAAACTTTGAGGGGCATGACATTATCATGCAGGCTCAGAAGTTCTGCATCAATGCCATTCTTCATTTTGACATTTGAGTGACGCAGTTCTGAAATTTAATAAATATGCAAAGCGTGCGTGTCTACTGTCCAGTCCGGGCAATTTTTTTAATACATTTTATACACAAAAAATTTACTTTCTTTTGGCGTTTGCGTTGACTGATTATTTTCGGTCTTTATCAATCAATCAATCTTCGTTTAGCGTCCAGAGACCCAGTTCCCCGAGGTAGGATGTATTTTCGGTCTTTAGTTTTTTTGCTTTTAAATCCGTTCACATGTTTATATTTATTTTTTATGTTTGTGTAACTTCACAGTATCCGTATCGTGTACTCTATATCGTGTTTCGGTTCATGTACACCCAGGTCTGATTTCTAAATTATTAATAGTTCATTTCATTTAAATTACTATAAATTAGGGTAGAGTGTTAGTGTGTTTAGTCCGTCGAAATTTTTAAATGATTTCAAGTTCAATTCACCATTAGAGAGTTACGAAAGATGCTTCTTTTTTTGGTCATATAGGGTTTAATACAATCTGATTTCTCTGATTTCTGACATTAATTGTTTTTAATGTCATTTTGCTGTGAAACTTGAATGCAGCCTTTTGGTTTGAGTTGTTCCATTTTAAGTTTCCTTGATTGAAAGTTTATTTGGTGGTTAGAATTTTTATTTATTATTTTTTATTTTTGCTTGACTGATTGATTGATTGTTTGATTGATTGATTGATTTGTTGATTGATTTATCGATTGATTTGTTGATTGATTTGTTGATTGATTTGTTGATTGATTGATTTATCGATTGATTTATCGATTGATTTATCGATTGATTGATTGTGGTTTCAAATAATGCGTTAGCCACGTGCAAATTAATTTTTATTTTTCAAGCATTTAATTTTTTAATAAAGTATTAAACAAGTTCATTTGTGATTGTTCATGTTTCTTTATACAAATGTGTTAACTAAAGCCGAACATTGATCACTCTCGACTAAGAAATTCTATATTGAATAATTATACCGTCTAGTCGTGCGGTCACATTAGTTAGTTATCAATTGTCAACTTTTTTAAGTTCTATGCAATGGTAAGTGCTGCATGCTTCGAATCGACACCATGCTCATTTATTTCTACTATCCATAAGCTTGGCACCAGTGGTAGGTAGGCTACTTTAAATATGATATGAAGTGTTGGAGGGAAGGCAAAGGCATGTTCGTATATGCATTGATACCGATATCTGATTTCCTCAACCACATGCATGCATCCTTCCCTTCTGTAATCGCCTATTTAACTTCATTTTGCAATTCTTGTTTAGCCTAAAAATCTTAACGCGTGAAGTTACTGATATTAAAATTATATAACTCTCTGAAATATTATTTATACATAAACACAGGTGCACGTTAAAATATAGACGCGCAAAAACACAATAAATAATTTTTTCTCTGTAACTTGAGACATCAAAGTAAATGGATTCTCACGATAACGAAATATTTGGAATAAAATGCAAGCATGTGTTGAACACACCTGATGATTCCCTGCTTGAATGAATGTTTGCCGTGAGTTTTATGTCTATCCTAGATGTATTCCGATATATCTAATCACAGCAGAGACTTGCTGCGTTTTTGACGTTTCACTTAGTTATTTTTTTGATTTTTCTATCAAACCATTGACGAAATAGTTTAACTACAAGTTGAACACAGTCGAAAATGCAATAATAATTGTAATTTTTATAGTCTCGATCCGGTTCATAAATACATTGTGGTTGTTGTGATTTGTTTACAACTTCATATCAAAGATATATTTTCATGAATAATAATGAAAAAAGTTTCAAACCGATTCGATTAAATAACCTCCCGTGTGTGCGTGCGTGAGATTAGCTTGGTGGATGCAGGTAGCGTCAGAAATAAAATCAGCCATCTTTGATTAATGATCATCATCTTCCAATTTCAAATGTGGATCAGACGAGGACAAAGCACAGACGATGGTGAAGATAATAGTGATGAAAATATACTAATGATAATTATGAGGTGGGATGATAACGTACCAAGAATAATGATGAGAATGATGATGAGGATGTACTTGAAAACGAGCTAATATAGTACCACAAACAATGATGCTGTTGCAGACTTATTAGAAGTCATCCTAATAACGACAGCAGCAATGCTAATAGCAAGGAAATACAAACGGTTCCACGTATTCCTACCTATAAATTATGGGAATTGGTGATTATAGCGATAATAGCAATCATCGTGTTGATGATTAAAATGGTGCTTGGGATAATGTCTTGCCTGCTTTCTTCATATTTTATCGGGTTCTCAGGGCATTCTTAGAAGGAGTTGACATGAAGCGTTTCGTAAATTATGCATAGTTATAAATTGTAGGTTTATAAGGTTTCCATTATTCATTATTTTATTTATTAATTATCATTAATGCCTTTGTTGACGTTGTTATATCATCATCGCCACTTACATTAGTAAGTGGCGGTGATGATATGTCATAACATATTAAATAGTAGCAAAAACCAGTAAATTATTTTTAAATCAAACCAAGGTCTTATTATTTATTATTAACAGGTCTCATTATATACGACATGAAAGCAACAAAAACAAAAAAAATAACCAAGCATTCCAAATTATAAAAGTATATGACAATCAAGCAATAACATCAACAACAGCACACGACAACACACAAGAACAACACACAACGACACCACACAACAATAACACTACGCAACAACACCACACAACAATACCAATATCAATAGCAGAATTCCAAATGCGTGGAAAGAAATGGAGAAAGATTTAGCCCACCTTCAGGCATCGCACGCTCCATAATAAAAAATAATTAGTAACATTTTCTAAATGCATTGGCTAAATTTTGAAGAGAAACTATGCTGAAAGAATTGTTATGAAAGAAAAGTTTTAAAGTTAATTTTATTATTAAATGAATATCTTAAACTATCAGAATGAAAAAGTTGTGAGAAAAATTTAAGCTAATAATGTCATCAAAACTAAATACTCTCAAAATTTTATTTTTTTTATTTTTTTAAACTTTATTTCACACCTAAATTCTGAATATCACAAACAAAAATCTGGAAAGAAGTACTTAATTCCGGTTGGAAACGGGCGCATTAGC